CCTTCTTACGGCTTGTGAGCGGGATTCTCCAAGTGGCTTGGCACGAGGCTTCTTTGGGAGAGGAACAACAAATCTGCCAGCTTCATTGCGGTGGTGAGTCTCCTTGAAGTGCTGCACAACTGATTGTTCCTCAGAGGAGAGCATACCTCACTGTTTGGATTCTCTTCTATCTCCCAAAATCGACATAGCAGATCATCTCCGGCAATGAAGGAGGCGTGGTGAGATGTAACATGTTTTGGAGTATTGGAGTCAAGCCGACCAGCCAAAACCCAACCAAACTCTGTCTTAAACGCAGTCGGAGATCCAGGGGGTCCAAACCGCCGGCCCTGACAAAGTGCCTCAACAAACACATCAACTCCCAGTCGATTCAATTCTTCCAGGACGTCCGAAATCTGGGTCAAGAAGTGGGATGAGTCAAACGAGACCGGATGAAAAGGAAGGTCACATGTTACACGTGGCACAATGATGGCTGCGACTTCCTTCTTCTTGTGAGGAGACCGTGTAGAAGACACTTTGACGCTTGCAATTGACCAGAGTGGGGAACCATGGGAGAGGCACGTCATTAGCAAAGTGTTGGATGACAGACCTGCAGCAGTATGAGAGGACACTGACGTAGGAGTAGGATTTGTCGACACGGGAGTGGAAGACACAGGAGTGGTTTGAGAACCTTGTTCAGTGTCGACATGGAGTAGGGTGTGGTGCAGTTTCTGACACTTCCCTGCAGCGATGTAACGACTTGCATTGTTTGACAAAGTGCCCAGGCTTCAGGCAGTTGATGCAGAACTTGTTTTCCTTGAGAGTGGATATCATCTTATCATGTTGAAACTGGCACAAATGTAGAAGGATGTTTTTCATTCTTGCATAGGACGCAGTTGGCAACGGTGTCATCAGCATTTGCAGCAAAGGACGCAACAGGTTTAGTGGAGTTAGATGAATGCTTCACACCTCTTTGACCGGAAGTAGGTGTTTCGGATGCTTGCACACAAAGGTTCATGAACTCCAGTAGCCTCTTGTAGTGCGGCACGTCAGTAGAGTCTTGGTTGTGCTTCTGCCATTCAAACATAGTGCTGACGTCCAGTTTCAGCTCGAGAACTGATGTAATGAAAGGACCTGATGGTTCATAATCCATTGCCTTTAGTGCTCTGAGATGCTGCTGTACAACATCATGCAGGCGACGTAGCTCTTTGCCGCTGCTTTCCTTCGGAGGAGGTGACTCTAGGATCGCGCGAACATGGGCTGATGAATTAAGCGAGGACGGTCATAGCGAGACTTCAGGCACTCAATAGCTTCAGCATAATAGTCCCCAGACCGTGAAAAACCTTCAATGGCGCTCTTGGCGGACCCATTCTTGAGCGATTGTTGCAGGTAAACAAGCTTTTCAGGACCAGACAGGCTAGGACGGTCGTGTACGAATTGCTCCCAGAAGGGATCTGCAGTGGAGAATATTGCCGTCGAAAGTTGGCACATCAAGTTTAGGTAGTTTCACTCCCTTTCTGTCCAAGGATGTGGTGGGAGAGTCAGACTTGTGTGACAACATGAGCAGTAGCTTCTTGACTTGAAGTGATGTATCAAAGATTTCTCCCTCCAGGCTGGCTTGTAACGTGGAGAGCTCATCAGTTTCCTCCAGGTCGACAGACATGAGACTAGTACGCACGTCGGTGAGTTCCTTCTTGCAGTCACCGAGTTCTTCCTCGTACTGATGTAGGAGGGAGACGTCAACAGGTTTCTCCCCAGAGGACGTGATGGCTGTTCTAATAGAGGACAGGGCCTTCTTCAGGTGTGCGAGATGCGATCTTACGCGTGGGCGAGTCAGACGCAGGCGTACAGGCGTTGATGAACCGCTTTATGTGCGCAGAGAGATCAGCGACAAAGTCGTCGTGGTCGTCCAGTATGTTTTGCTCCGTCGAAAGGGCCTCTTCATCATCTATGATATCAATGAGGGCGTGGTGATGTGTCCTGAACTCCGAATCCAGTGCATCCAGCTTACGTGTCATTCCCTGAGCGAGCTCCAACGTCGCGGGTTTGTCCGTGTCATTCTCCAGATCTTTGAATGGATTCGTTTAGACGAGTGATGGAGGCGCAGACGACGCCTCTCCGCTTTCGAAGAGTGGCTGCTTTGCTCATAGTCGACAGGCGGCTCGAGCTGACAAAAGGCGAGAGGTACCACGTGGCAGTTGCGGTAGCGCTTGGACGAAAACGAGTGGACTCTCAAGAAAGAACCATCCAAGATTCGCTGGTTCGACTTCTATCCGGCCTTTTGCAACCGAACACATTTAAGTGTTCAATCCCTCGTTTGTAGTACAGACTTCTTAGTTTGTAATAATGCTGCATAACTTCAACGTGGGGTTTAGTGTAGTCCCTAACAAGGGTTGGAGAATTGCAAACACCAACATGTTTTCATCACTGCATGAGGCACTGCGCACTGTCAATACACAGTCGTATTGCATTTTGTGCCAAGTTTTGTACTTCAGTGTTTTTTAACTGGTTTTGCATGTATGGCCAATGACATTGCTTTCACAATCCAGGGATGCCTGTCGACTGTTATATGTAGATACCCAACATAAAGAAGTTTACATTTTGCAGTTTAAATGTTAGTGAAGTTCTTGTGGCAAGAGTTTTTTGTTCCCAGAGTGATGACAAAGACTAGATAGATGCTCCTAACAACTGTTACTGTGATATTAGCTCTTACAGTGCACTGCACTGGTTTGCTGTTAGACAGTCTGAAGTACAAAAACTGCTCTGCAGACCATGTAAGTGTTCCAGAATATTCTTCAATAGACCACAGTCTAAGTCATGATGGTTGTCCACCATGGTTTACTAATGACACAGGACAGTGTCAGCCTGGACCAAAACTAGGTGGCATCATACAGCAAGATTTGCAGACTCTTCAAACTAGTCTACTAGAGTGCTACTGTATGACAGAGAATGATGGAGTTCTGGTAGTTGGTGCTTCCATGTACACATGTAATGCTATCATGGGCTACTACCCACTTCCATGTGATGTGTCCCAAATAAATAACTTCACATGTGCAGGTTTGCACCGACATGGAAAGTTGTGTAGTGTGTGCGATGACGGATATGCCATTCCTGTGTACTCTTACGATCTTGCATGTGTCAAGTGCGAGAACTACAAGTACAACTGGTTAAAGTATTTGGCAGCTGCTTTTCTTCCACTTACTGTCTTCTACATTCTAGTTACTCTCTTCTCCATTAGCTTCACATCTCCTTTACTGACTGGACTGGTTTTAGCTTTTCAAATGGGAGGTCACCCAGTATACCTCCAATTATGCCTCAGCTTCGAAAAGGCTGGTATTCTATACCACCCCAAACTTCTTATGGTATTCCAATCAATTGCATCACTTTGGAATCTTGATTTCTTTCGTTTGTATTACTCTTCTGCCTTCACCCCGATGCCTCAGCCGTGGCCATCATGGCTCTGGACTATGCTACAACAGTCTACCCAGTGGTACTGATTGGAGTCACATATGTCATGGTCAAACTCTACGACCACAACTTCAAACTCCTGGTATGGCCCTGGAAGCTGCTCTCTGTTATTCTACACCCCTTACGAAGGCATTGGAATGTAAAAACATCCCTTGTTGACGTGTTTGCATCATTTATTTATCTTTCCTCAACCCGTCTACTTGTGACTTCTATTGGCCTTCTAGTTCCGATCACCAGCTACACATACCAGCAAGGGCCTGATGGACACATGAAGCTGACTACAGCATACTATCTTTTCTACTCACCTTCGGTTGAGTATTTTGGTAAGAGTCACTTGCCATTTGCCCTCATGGCTGTATCATTATCATTTATATTTTTTATCCTGCCAATGGTTTTGTTGTTTGTGTACCCATTTTCTTGGTTCCAGCGAATCCTCAACACATTCGGCCTCAATTCATTAACACTGCGAACGTTTGTTGAAGTATTTCAAGGTCCGTTTAAAGATGGCACAAACAACACCAGAGACTATCGCTTTTTCTCAGCTGGTATACTGTTTTGTACCATTGATGGTGAACCTGACCTTTACCCTCACTCTCTCCAGTATGCTTTTCCAGTTGTCAGTATTTGGATTCTTATCTACCTCACCCTCCATCTGGTGTTCCGACCTTATAAACACTCACTTCATAACTCCATCACAATTGCAATGTTAGTTGCACTACTGACATATCATTGGGGCCTGGCCATCAATTCGGAAGTGATACCCCTGGAATATTACGCACATAATATCACTGTCATGCAGTCTCCCTTGTTTGATTCAGTCTGGATACTATCCAGAATTTTAATCGGAATTTCGTTATTAATGTATACGGCTACCTTTTTTGTTTATTTTGCATTGGAAGAGTACTTTGTTGTTGTACCCACACTAAATTAATGTAGTGCAAACTTCAATTTTGTTCCAAGAGAGAAAAGTGATGTGCAGATAGTGGAGTCCATACCTTTAACCACATATTACATGTATGTATTACTATCTTTGTTTACTGTGTGTGTACTGTAGTACCAAAAGAAAATTCACACCTTTTCATTATCCTTTTGCAACCGAACACACAACCTCATTTGTAGTACAGACTTCTTAGTTTGGAATAATACTGCATATCCTTCAGATGATCAACGTAGGGTTTAGTCCCTAAGAAGGGTTGGAGCATTGCAACACATCAACATCTTTTCATTCATCACTGCATGAGGCACTGCGCACTGTTCATATAGCATTTTGTGCCAAGTGTTTGTACTTCAGTGTTTTTTTAACTGTAATGGCCATTGAGCATGGCTGCTTTCACAATCCAGGGATAGCTGTCGACTGTTGTATGTACATCAAAAAGTTTACATTTTGCAGTTTAGTTTAACCGTTAGGGAAGTTATTGTGGCAAGAGTTTTTTGATGACAAAGGCTAGATAGATGGCCCTCGCATGTATTAAAATTACTCATGCATGCGTGTTATAGTTGCTTTTTTGCATTTATCTTGCACTGTGATGGCTGTACACAATACCCTATACATATAGGTCCAGTGGAGGGTGTTTCAGTTGCCAGCCTTCCTGTGTGTCTACAGAGACTGAAGATAAGTATCAGAGATCTGCACAGTGTGCTAGAAGGTAGATTGTGTTGGTGGGTGCTTTTCAGCGGTTTAGTTGTTGTCTCGTGTTCTCGCTCAGCCCTGCACAACCTCTACTCCTCCAAGATTACATTGATACCAGCTCCCCAGTTCATCTCAGAACTCAACACGACCAACGAATGCAATTGTCTCAGTTCTCTCAGGACTCACCCATCATCTGCACTACAGGTATGTGGAGGGTCTCCTAACTATAGGAGGACCTTCTGGTGAAGCATGGGTAATGCAAGTTTATTACAATGCGTTTTTGGTGAGCGAAGCGAGCATTTTCAATATTCAATATTTCGCGCATTTTACATATTATAGAATCTGTCATGTTCACCGTTACATATTTATATGGAAAATCTGCATTCATGCGCCTAGGTGAGCTCGCTTCAGTCTCGCCAACTGTCATTATGTGGTATGCGTCAGTTCACAGTTACAGAAATATTGCGGCCATCTGGAGGATCCCATACATTGTCAACAGACGTACTAGTATGTCATTATTCGTGTCACACCTCCTCTGGGTAGAGAGGGTCTAGCAGCAGCTGGTGAGTCTCAAAGAAACATTTAGTCGAAGAACTACGCTTCACACAGCTTCAGATCTGTTTCTCTCTCTGTCTCGGGTCTGCCGAGCTACATACTGTAACTTTTGCAGTTGCGTACTATGCATATCTCCAACACGTCATGTTGACGTTTATGCATCTTAATAACTTTCCAGTTCCGGAAAAGGTAAGAAGACGACTATCAGACTATGACTCCTGGCTATCCGCCTCTGGCCGCACTACGCATCACACTACGATAACGCACTGCTCTCCCGCTCTGCGCAGCACATCACGTACGCTAAACTGTCGTCCTCTCTGCTCCCCTGCGCACCACATATGTCCTTCTAGACCCTCTCTCCGTGCTCACACCGCACTTCTGCCGCTCGACACTCTCCCGCTGAGTCGTCCGCACACGATAGTAGTGTAACGCTGACCTTCGCCCTCTGCGCACCACTTACATATGTGCTCTCCTAGTCACCCTCTCTCCCGCTCTGCGCACCTCTGCCTCTCCCTCTCGCGTCACCACGCCCCGCATACCCTGACTATATAACCCTCTTACCCTCTGTTGCACCGCATACGCCTGCTATGAAAACCCTCTACTATCCCCTGCTTGCGCACCGCCATATATGACCCTGCTTCTCCCCTCCTTCCGCCCCGCGCTCGACGCATCGAGACATCTGACCCTCCCTCTGCACACTCGCACATACGACTCCTCCCCTCTGCGTGCGCACATAGCATCTGCCTGCTATCTCTCTCCCTCTGCGCACCGCATACGCCCTGCTACTCTCGCGACCCAATCTGCATCCTACATGAGCCTGCCCTCCCGCTGCTGCGCTCAAAACACCGCATACGACCTGCGACCTGCACCCTCACTAGTGCCTGCGATAATCAAAAAGCTAGGAACCCTCTCCCTCTGCGCACACAGACACTCTGCTCGCTCTGCGCACTCTCCCTCTGCGATGCAACCGCATAACGCCTGCCATAACACGCTCCTCCCTCTGTGCACCCGCCATCGACCTGCCTTCCCCTCTGTGCACCGGATACGCCTGCTATATAATACCCCTTCCGCTATCTTGCTCGTCCACTCTCATAAGCTGCTCTCAGCCCTCTCTGCGCACCACATACTGCCTGCTAGACCCTCTCTCCTCTGCACACCACATACGCCTTCTATACCCTCTCTCCTCTGTGTACCACTTGCACTGCTATGCGCCTCTAGAGACCCCTTGACACTCTTCTGGGTGGTTAGCCCTCTCAGCACAACGTCAGCGTACTACACTCTCCTCATCCAGAGCTATAAAGCTGCCAATAGACAATGCGTGTGTGGCTTGAACAAATGAGATCATCTTATCTCACACGACTTTGCACCTGTACACATGTACAAGCTCTCAGGTCATTGCACTATGTGCCACCCTCGCAACTAACATTTTTCTTCGTATAGATACTGCTGTGAGGGGTTGGAAGAGCCTAATGGAAGTTTTCAGTGCTTGCTCTCTCTCGAGCACACCCACACCAGCTCTCAGGCCAAGGTTTATACACTTTCATGGACGATGGGGAATGTTCCCATGCTATCCTGGGGAGTCGCGTTTCTATCCCTAGACTTAATGAAAGTCTCTGTTCTTCTTCCCCACAGTCTTCTAAAACGGCATCCTCTGTGGTACAGAGCCTAAACAAGAGCCACAAGTTACATCCGGACTCTCAACAAGGTAAAAAGCCTCATGTGCTTGGCTACACAGGAGTGTGCGTGTCTTGCATTTGAGTTTTTGTGTTACACATTTTTTGCTACCCCTCAGTTTTAAACTTTTTATATCAACTATTTTGTGAATTCCTAGTATCAACTGTTTTTGCGCACTATGTGCTCTTATGTTTAGCCTTTTTGTTTAAGCCCTCCGAAGCCCCCAAACTTGATTTCTCCTTTATTCTGTCTTGCTCTCCCTTACTGCTTTGCTTGCGTACTGTTCGAAATCCTTCTTTCGTTTTTGCCTTCGGGCCAAAACACTCAAACACAAAACTCCTCTGACTAACACAACTGAAGATTCACGTGACTGCTTCACAGTGTGTGATGTTGTGTAGGAGTGTCCAGAGTCAGTGCCCTATACTCTGGCCCTGCACATGCCCCGCTGTATGTCCAGCTCTTCTAAGAGAAGAGAGACTCTCTCCAAACAGGTCTGTCACACACTCTCACACAGCTCACACGCTCCTAGCAGGTCCGTAGGGCACCTCCATACCAGTACCTCTCTCTCTCTCTCTCTCTATCGTGCGTGCAGTGCCTCTGCCCGCAGTATTCTCTACCATGACCTTTGAATAATGGCAACTGATACTAAGATTCAGTTCCCAATTTGTTTTTCCTCTAAGAGAAAAAAGCACGCAGGTGAGGATCGAACGCCCGATATCTCTTGGGAGTGTGTGCACCACGCCGAAACGTCTTTGTCTCTTTTGTATAAAAGCATTGTAGTGCTGTGTATTTATTTGCTACCGTTGTAGCTAAGCAGTCTGGAGATGATTGTTCAGCTAGAACAGGTCTGCTCCTTAGTATATCACACACTCAGTCTCAATTTTACTACATGTGAAACTGCAGGAAAACGAGCGTATCAAATTGGAACCTACAACTATTGGAAGTGAAATATGAGAAAGGGCAAAAGGTGACAGGCACTGCAACACATTACTCCCACATGTATATTTTATATTGTGGATGAGACTTAATATAATCTCTTAGTAACGTGCCAATGCGTTCATATCCCTTGCTGACACTAGTGTTTATATAATTTCCTTCCACATAGAAAGCCCAGAGGCTGGAGGAAGAATCGTCTCACCAGTCTTCAGGTGGTGCCTCTGGTGTCCTCACTCCTGCTCAGTCCAGGGTATGACCATCTCCTCTGCTACGTTATGCCTATGTGTATGATGTTAGTTAGTTAATCACCTTAGAAGTTACTGTGATGTTTATGTGTAATGTCCATTTGTTCTGTGGTGTGCATGATCAGACTACATAGGCCGAGTGGTGTATCTTGGTACCATGTCCCTTTAGTTTTAGTAACAAATTGGTAGATTCCAAGTAACCCAATTTGTTGTGCTCTTGTTGGTACGGTATTGAATAGTCCATCCAAACATAAAGAAGTCCCATGGACAACACAGCTAGTAGTTGAAACTATTAATAGAGCTGGTGTATAATGGACATGCTCTGAATTCTGATGGGAAATGGCATCTTGTTTTCCCTCACAGAATTCACTAGGTGTAAGCACTCAAGTACAGTCGTTGTCTGATTCTGTAGTATTGCACTCCTGTGTGTTTATCGGTTCTACATTACCTCCCACACCCTACCTCTCATGTGCAGGTTGGAAACCTTGCTCTTCTAGAAGAGGTGGGATTCATTGCATTACTCTGTAAAAATGTTTCTAGAATTATTTATGTGTAGGAGGTCAGTGATGAATGAGTTAGAGAAGAACTCATTAGGATACACTTTACCAGAGGATATTACAAGTCAAAGCTGAGGTAATGTTGCAGCATCGTGGCACAGGCACACTCAACCCCAGTGTGCATTGAATTTCCCTCAATTACTGTATGTCTCTCTCTGCAGACACAAGAAATTGATAGTAAAGGCAAGCTCATTACTATGCTGAGCTGTGTAGTAAATTCCCAAGTATTTCATAATATTATGCGCTTTCCGTTCTCTGATTCTGGTGTATGTACACTCCAGCATGAAATTAGGCAAGCGAAATTTGAAAAATCTTTAAACTTTACCAAACACCCACCAAGTGGTCCTGGTTTTCACAGCTACTGTGTGTACAGAATATTATGCCATAACTCTCTCGCATCTCTAGAGGCGTGCGCATAATGAAGCAACTCAACCACAATGTTGCTCTCCATGTCAAACGTGACCCGGACGTGACACTGCAGGGAGACCATCTAACACTCCAGGTAGCTAACAGTCCTATATACCCAGTGTCTCTCCTCTCTCATTGAGTGGTGTGTATACATAGTCTCTACAACCTATCGTGTTTTTTCGTCGGGCAATGTTGGCATCTCAAATTCTGAAAACGCAAAATTTTTGACCATGTGAAAATCTTTTATATATGTTGTGTGTTCACAACACAGCAAAAATACTTATTAATCAAAAATAAACGCTACACAGTATGTACTGAAGTTACAGTCCAACGTTCTGCATGAAACACAACGCTGAAATGAATAATTCTTCTGTCCGAGACTGGTGTTGGTGTACAATTGTGCAGGACCAGCTAGCCACCACTTCCAAGCAGCTACGAGAAGCAGTTGAGTACCATGTCGACCACCTCTGTGAGCTCAACGACAAGATGAATGAGACAGAGTGAGGGAGCTGTGAGGTGCTCAGAGAACAAG